ACGTTTGTCGGTCCTGATGCTCCTCTTCACTTGCTTGTTTGCCTCTGTGTATTCGGCTTGTGCCTTGGCTTTTTCCGCTCTGGTTCGGCTGATATTGATTGCTACCTTCTTGTTCCTCCTTGCTTCAATTTTATCCAGTGTACCAACAGTGATCCATTCCTTGTGATGGTGCTTCTTTTGGCCCAGAACCTCCTGACATGTTGAAACGATTGCCTCCTTGATACCTTTCCAGCTGCTCTCTATGGTGGTTCCCTCTCCATTGAGTAGGTCATGAAAGGCCTCGAATCTGTTGCTGAGGGCTATGTTAAATTCGTTGAGTTTGTCAGCATCTCGAAGAAAGGCCGTGTTAAACTTTTGTGATGTTGTCCGCGCCGTTGTCCAGTGCTTCTTGAGTTTTAGTTTCATCTTGGCGACCAGCAAATGGTGATCGGATGCTATATCAGCTCCTCTTCTGGTTCTCACATCCTCCATCCTCCATCATCACTGGTATAGGTAATAAACGTCTGAGTCCTGCTTATTCTCCAGGTGAATAAAGACTATCCCAGACTCATTACATTAACATATCTTCAGAAGTGAGGATGAAGAAAGGAATTTTAGTTAGAGAATAGCAAATCAACAAGAGCAATGAATAAATGGAGACTCTCATCTTTAATGAAGGAACACAGACAAAAATCCCGAGTCAACGCTCTTTCCAATAACTAAGTTGAGTAATATCAAACATCCAGTCCTACTCATGCATGCTGAATTAAAGCAGAGCTAAATTAGCTTAATGATGGTGAAAAGTAACTGTTGTGTGATTTCCAAGTAGTTTAATTGTACCGCATTTCACCTAGTGGTTGAATACACCAAATTCGACGTCTCAGTACTTGTCGAACGATGTGGACGACTGATTGCGTGAATGTTAACCTGGTAATCATTGCAAATCAGCACGAGCCAGCACACTTATGTTTCACAGCCACCCAGCAACAATCAGCACACTACACTCTCATTTCCGTAATGCTGTATAAACAAGTTTATAGCCATATAAACTATTTTATGTAAAACTAAAGAAAAGTTACAGTTTCAAACGTCTTGTTATCAAGAAGTAAAACTATGATCAGCGAGAACAACGGATTCTGACGATATGTCTTCTTCGTTATCAGGAATTGAACTCATAACTTGTGTACTTATGTCTTCCAATGCTCAAAAGCATGAAAGGATAAGCTTATTGTCCAGAGGTTCACTAATAGCACGGATTGAGTGGTAGTTACTAGTAAATTATTCAGGCAGCTCTTCGCTCTGTACAACTTAACATGTAATCCGACGTACGGATAACCAAGTCCATTATGTAGTTCCTTGTCCGCCAACTGCTATATCGAAATAAATCTGTGATGTTTATAAAGATAAAGAAATTTCCACGAATTAGATCTTTGATTTTGTGCATGCAAAATATGACCACGTGGCAACATAGAGTCATTGAAACACTCACAAGTACATCGTGCACATGAAGTATCAACAATATACATTATACCCTTGTCGTAGCAGCGGATGTCCTGTCACTGTTTTGTGTCTCGATCTCGTAACTCGTTTGTAATTTACAGCCACAATATTAGCTGCAAAAGCTATGGAGAAGAGTATCCTCTCTTCTGAGACATTCTTTTAAGTATCTATGAGCACTTTCCACAAGAACGCTTGTGTGGTTGCTCAGGCTTGGCATCTGTGGCTGATAACAGCTAGCCTACATTGACTTCCGGTCAATCCACTGATCTCTGATGTAATCACAATCTCGTGGAAAATGTGTTCTTGGGCACCCGTACTTTTGAGAAAATTTGAATATGATGCATCATGGAAAGTGAAACTTGCATCTTGTTTTGACAGGATGTTTCAAGCACTTGTGAACGTCGGTATTTCTCAACTACAGAAAATAATCTATATGGTTAACTCTAACCTTCCTGAAAAATGCTCTTTAGACATGAAACGAACACAGCATTATTTTGGCATGACTGTGTGTAGACCGTGTCAAGGAAATTTTAGTCTCTGCCGAATCCATAATAAAAGTGCAGGTACCATAAGCACCATACATTATATCTTTGAAGTGTCTTAGTAGTCTTAAGAAGTCTTCACGTCGTTCTTGCCTGCTATGAGCATACATAACATTGTTCCCCTGTCCAACACTATCAGTTACCACTAGCTGGAACAGTGGAAGGCTTCAAGACGAAGCTGCTATTGTTCGTTACTTACCCAACTTTGTTGGTCCGGCAAGTCGAGTCAATACATACCACCTCTAGGAACGCGTGGTAGGTGGCCATTTTCTACCTGCGACTGAAACAAATAACGGATATGTTCCGACTTTCTTCGAATACCTTTACCTCAGTGTATATTTTTTTTATAAAAAAAACAAAAAAACTTTTTTCAATCGCTTTTACGCTGTCGCAAGCGTATTAGAAAGCCTGAGTCAATTAAAGCTAGACCACCATGGAAAACCTGGAAACACTGGACGGCCGTTTCGTCCTATTATGGGACTCCTCAGCAGTGCCCAGGATTGACTGGGTTCGAGTCTCGCTCGCGAGAGCGGGTTCGTGGATGCGCACTGCTGAGGAGTCCCATAATAGAACGAAACGGCCGACCAGTGTTTCCAGGTTTTCCATGGTGGTCTAGCTTCAATCGACTCATGCTTTCTACTATGAAAAATACTAAATCTCCACAAAACCCCTTCTGATAATTAATGCAAGCGTATTAGTTTATTTACCTTTTTCCCTGCTCACCTTGTGTCTTTACGCAAGTACAAGTGTATTTCTATATTCACTCACACGTTCCATTTTTATTTCTTTTCCAGGACGGCTGGAAAAGAACGATGAAGTTTATAAAGAACCGAGATCTCGATTGTAATTTGTTTTACGATTACTATGCTGTTTTATAGCCGTTTATAGTAAGGAAAGACGACCAGACGCTGCTAAACATAGCTAGTTATCAGAAGAGTGTTTGCCATCAACAAACTCGTAGGGTGTAAACTTCTGGCTGGTTACGTCGTAGGGGCATCCCTTCCTCACTAGGGGGGACTGATCTGTAGCTGTAAACGATTCCCCAAAATCAGTAGCTTTTTAAGTGTTCGACATTGGATGCTGACCACATTGTTTTAAGTGGACTTGTTTAGCTGAAGGCGTTCGGTGATGCATCTGCACCAGATCACGTTACAACACAGCATGGGAAACATCTCCTACGATCATTAACCAGATTAGACCAATCGCTTCTCGATATATTGATAACGCTCCAAGTATATCTTCCAACCTTTTCGCTCTTGTCTTCTGATTTTAACTGGGTGGGCACGATTCGATTATAGATGTTACTGGTAAAGAGTTGTCAAACTACAATACTGGTGGTACCTTCAGGCCGAACGCACTATAAATTCCCGTTGATATGTTTAATGTCTAAATTCATTTAATTAGAATGTATGTTTAACAACCTGAATACAACTGTGACCTCATGTTTGCAACATCGCCCTCGGCAAGTTACTTGTGGGACGTTTGAGTGACCGAATGCTACGCGCTAGCGTATTGCACAAGAGAGACGGTCTTAAATATGATCGTCCACTCGATGACGACTGCCGTCTCGAAGGATCTACAGAAATATATCCTCTTGTGCAAGGATGGTATTGCATAGTTTTAATGGAAGTGGCCTTTAGCTCACCATTTCCTGCACGAACTATGATGACTAGAAGTATTCAAATTATTGTACTTACTAGGAATTCCCAGAACAGTGCAATTTAAGCCAGATAAAGCTAGATGAGCACAAACGAATGTACTGTACTTGGAATTTGTGGTAAGCAGACAGTCAAGTACAAAGGAACCATTGGTTTGTACAAATGCTACACGGACCTGAAATCCAGACTGACAGTGGCAATATTTAGACCTTAAGGGTAAATTTATTTGGAATGAAGTATAAATACCGAGGTCAAATCGTCTGTGTTTGGAGATTCATTCCTCGTATTGAGTAGTGAATTAATGGAGTTCTCTACCGGAACACATAATATCAGCACCTTACGTTGATATATTCAAAACGAGAACGAACCTCCACAGTGTCACAAACTGCAAGGATTAATATAGGTCGATAGACCTCCTATCCTTATTAGTGAAGATGACCGACATCGTCTTCTTTGCCTATCTTATGGTGGTGAGTTACAATAAGCATACTCTTTGAAAGAATGTTCATCACTATCATCATCCACATCCTGAAGACAGGCGTTTGATTCCGAAACAGTGCGTTTAAGTCCATCTGGATGTACATCTGTACAAACATATCTGACGAAAAAATACTTTAGAGATGGGTCACCTTTGTTCTTTTTACATACTGATATGCCATGCCTCGTGTGAGTATACAGTACAGAGAATCATAAATCACAGAAGTTTTAGTACCTTATGTACTTCTTTTAAATGATCTCGAAATTGTCCCAACTAGCAAATCGTCGCGATAACATAATATCACTGAAGATTTATCCTATACCATGCATCATAACGATAGTGTCACTTTCGTTACTTGAAGGATGGAGACTATCAAACATAGTGTGGTTGAGCTCAAAATTTGTATGTAGCACGTTATATTTTGACGTTCACTTGGGAGCAGGAAAGACCTGAAACAACAGTACAACAGTCAGGACCGATAAGTGCCTCTGAAGTGAGAACACGGAGTGCTGGCACAACAGATATATTCGAAAATTGAAAGACGCGGTTCGAGTACAAAAAAAGGAAAGTGATTACAAAATAATTTTACTCGTTATTCTGCAGGTTCACATTGCACAGACCTTGTTCCTCTTCTTCCAGTGCATTTAATCTTTGTTTCCTTGCAATAAGAAATGCAAACTCGCATTAGTAATGTTGCATGTAATGATTTTTAATACTGTTGCATGTAGTTGTCTTGATTTGACCGCTTATGCAAAACCTTATGGATTGTCGAGGTGACGCACCAATAGTTTTACGACAACTTGACCTTCAAGTGCTCACCAACCTTTATGAGTGGGCGACGCCACTGGATAGTTGTTGTAGTCATTGTGGTGGTCGTTAAAAATCCCCAGGCTTTGCGTTTTGACTGTTTTTCTTTTCAATGACTTCAACTCTAAAGGAAATTATAATGTGTTAAGGTTATTTTGCGCTTTACGTGGCAACCTCTCAATGTTTGTGAACTTATCAAAGTAAATTTGCCTCCCTGAGCAACTAAAGTTGGGGAAATAAAGAGGAGCATGGTGTTAATTTTTGGGGGAAGGCTGGCAGTTTGAGGAAGGTGAAGGTGTTCATTTTTAAGCATTTCCCCTTACATGGGAAATCTTGGAAAGTTCTGTTACTTATTCCGGGATGGACGAAAACTGAAGCAACCAGAACAGGGAAATAAAGGGAACATTCTGTAAAGAGTTAATTAAGGGACAGTCCTCTGAATATCCCCTTTTTCGACTTAACGTGATAATTTTACACAGTCACCTATATTCATGCCGATTTTCCTTTAGGAATTGCCTCAATATTTCTATAATGCTTGCTTGTGTGATTAATAATAACTGGGAACAATTGTTCTCCTTTGAAGCACATTTTAATAGAAAATCACAAGCTTGTGATGACAACTTATTAAAAATACAAATCACTCCTTCACTGGTGTCCTACTTCTAAGTTTTGAGTTATTATGTGTTTCAGGGAATTTGAAGTTATCTTTGCCATTTTCAGGAAATTTTCTGGATATGAGTTACCGTTATATCCCATCATTAATTCGAAATGCGCCCCGCTTAAAAACCCGAGGGATTGAAATTTTGCGCGACCCACGGACAAATAAGGTTAGACTTCACCATATTAATTTTCTCCTCAGGGTTCCTCGTATACTCTCCATGAGCGCCAACTTCTGGGGATCCATGGACTGTTGCCACCGAATCCTCAAAATCAAGATGTTGAGGGACAACGAGTTATTTCAAACCTTTATCAGCTTGATGATAATCTTAGCCGTTACATGATGTTAATGTCTCTCCAAGATCTTAACGAAAAGCTGTTTTATAGGGTAATAGTAAACTAATAAGATTATTTCGCAGACTATCAGAACACACTTAGAGTATTGCTTGCCTCTTATTTACACACCTACTGTAGGCTTAGCATGCTTGAATTTCGGTTTTGTTTTCCGAAGGCCTCGGTAAGTTGCCATATTTACCATATTTTTAGAGGTATTTATATTACAATTCAAGATAAAGGGCATATTTTTACTTTACTAAAGAATTGGCCTGCTGATACAATTAAGGTAAATGTGAGATATTGAATTGGAGACAGGTTCATTAAAGACAGTAGTCATGACTGATGGCGAACGTATATTGGGCTTCGGAGATATGGGCGCTAATGGAATGGCTATTCCTCTAAGCAAGGCTGTTCTGTACACTGCCTTAGGAGGCTTACAACCTAATCATTGTCTACCTGTAATGTTGGATGTTGGTACAAACAACGAAAAGCTTCTGGAGGTATATATCACTGTTTATTTTTTTTTAAAAGGCTGAGCTATTTCTTCTAGTATGTTAATTTTTCTTATATGACCTACTTACTGTTCGTTTTAATAACTCATGCCTATTTTTTGAAGTTTGAAGGATTACAAAGTGGTCTGAGAAAATGTTTTCATTTATGTACATGTAAGTGAATTATGTCTGGATTTTTTAAAACCACTAAAACAGACTAAATTGTCTCCCGTCAGTCGGCGTGAAAAGTACATTTTACCAAAGTCTGTTCCAAAAGATAACCGAAGTCTAATTTTTATAGCTAGTAAATCCAAAATAAAAGTAAACATAATAAAATATAATCATTATTTATTTAAACATGTAAATACCGATACAAGGTGGCACCAAAATATATCTGGGCCACACAATAACGAAACGAGATTGTAAAGAAATGGAGAAAGGAAGGTGAGTACAGTATTAAAAAAATAGATGACCAAATATGTGCGCGAGTAAAAAAGTAGTGGAAGAAGCAATTCAATCAAAAAACCACAACCGGAAAGGATTATTCCAACTAAAGAAGTTGCTCTCACTTATATGAAAAAATTGCAGCAGAACCGCCTCCGGGTTTTATTCTGAGCCATGTCTGATAATTTCTGGAGCCACTGTGTCTCACTATCCGTCGAACCTCAACCAGCAAACCTTGGTGAACCGACAGATACCATTCCTACACAGCTATTTTCATATCCCTCACTGTGAACCTCCTCATTTTTAATATGGCCTTCCCACTGAATGTCAATGGTCCTTCGGGGACAATGGCGATCGAATGCCGATAGACACTTAACAGCTTCGATTCATAAGGACCAGATTTCAAAAGTATAAAGCCAAACTACCGTCACCGATGCGTTCTAAATCTGACATTTTACAGCCAGAATACCATCACAAAGGCACAAAGACACACCTTTCTTAAACAGGTAATCCCAGAGAACAGCACTGTCGAACAAATCTAAGGAAGCCCTAATATCGAGAAACACAATGGTTGTTGGTCTGTTATAAGTATTGGGGTAAAGATGTGACGAATGCATACTCTATTACAATGAAAACGAACCTGCTCCTTTTGAGTTAGTCTTTCTCAGCTTGTGAACAATCTGCGAAGTATTATTAAGGCCAGTAGTTTGGACGCAATCAGAAGCAGATTTATCCCCCGATAGTAGTTGCATGGGTGGCTTAAACCCTTCTTTAAGATGGGAACGACTATGAACTCACTCCAGGATGTTGAAACACTCTAACCAGAAGGTCACCATCATTCTTAAAAAGGACTAGTGGTAATTAGCGTGTGCCTGGTGACTTGTGGCGCTTCCGCAGCTGCAGTTTCTTGCGGAGTCCTGCCTTATTAAGTGGATCAGTCGACGCTGACCGGGGAGGACAGAACAGTTTGGTCGATGTAACCGAGGTAGCAGACCGGCAAAACTGATTTACGAAGAACTGTCTATCGTCCTAGACGTCGGTGGATATTAGTAATTGGCGTCCCATTGGCATCATAGATTTCTTCAGATACATCAGACTCCTCGCTGTCTGTGGCTCGGATTTGTTGGAACAGCTTCCGGCAGTTATCAGATGCAGTTGTCGTCACCAAATCGTTAGCACGCTCTAGCTACAAAGCTTCTCGGTCTTTACGCAAATTCTACACAGTTTTTCAACGTAAAATCCTACGTTTGTCGTCAAACTCAAGATTGACCAATGTAGACTGACGTGTCTCAAGGGGTTTTAAAATATTTGTAAAAACACAATGCGGGATGTTTCTCGAAGCCATTAGAGATTTTTTCATAGCGTCATGCAGTTAGAGCCAGCACTCATCTATACCTTTCGTTGGGTTTGACGCTAACCTTAGACCTAACTTGATTTGATGTTTGTATGTGACGGAAGCTATCACCAAATTGACCGTATTAATCAGTTTAAGACGAGAAGTTTGTTAGACGTTGAAGCGTACGATACAATTATCTCAAACGAGGACGTGATCAGAGCCGAGACAAGTACTCCGAAAGAAGCGGGAGTTTTGTGCACGACAGTCCTAGAGGTAGCTGGTCGCGATGTGATCAATCTGACCTCAAACTTTGAATGTAGAGAGAGGCCGGGTCTCACACTGGCGATGAATACCGTTAGTTATTGATTGCCAGAAACGGGTTGTTGTCTGCACAAAGCTGCGAGAGACGGTCATCGTTATCTGACCTGTCACCAACAAGTTCCCATTGGCCACCCAAGTGACTTTCCTCTGTACCTGTATTCTCAACCTGTGCATTCAAGTCTCTGGCTAGCATTACAATATCTATGGAACACGCTTTCTTGAGATCATATAACCAGTGGTAGAACTCATCTTTCATTGCATTCCCCGCTGATTTTCCTCACTTTGACGGAACTTTCTAATCTAGCAGCATATAATCGACTGTTAGTGGTGGTCCAGTCGATTGTTGCCTCAGCTCTATCGCTTAGTGTTGCACCAAGGCCAGCAAAACTGGATGGGGATGCCACAGGGTTCCCGGATAAACGCACATAAAACAAGCTTTTCAAATGTGCAGACTAAGAGCAAATGTGTATTACTTCACAAGAGCCTTGAGTATAGGTCTCTAAGAGATAACAAACGTTGATGTCAAGGCTTTCTAAAGACAGCCAAACCTTTCTGTTGTCCGATCATCACGAATTTGCGAACATTAAAGGAGGAAAGTTTGAGTGGCACACGTGGTTTCAGAAAGATAATTTCGCAATGGGTGGCAGCATTCAACTTTCGACCAGATTTGCTCTATAGGCAAGGCGCCTGATGATTTAAAAAATAGAATACATAAAATGGGAATAAAAGGGAATAGACAAATGACGCAATGTAAATTAAGAATCTTTGTCATCAAATAGTTGTGAATATAATTTGTGAGAATGCCAATTGAAGCGAAAAATTTTTCATTTGTAACCATCATTAGATTTGTGTGTGAGGATGTTCTCGGTATTCTGGCTTTATGGACCAGTGTTTATTATTAACTGAAACCTTGTTGCGATAATCACCAACACTAAGGATTCAAAGGTGTAGGCTAAAAGTTTCTGACTTCGGGTCTACCTGCGTCCACTAAAATGTGGTCAGCGATAAATCTTTTATTGTAGAAAATAGCCCAGAAAATTAGAGCCTCTAATTTCAAGCTGCTTGCTTTAACTCTGTACGATTTTTCCCAGGATGCATTTGTCACGATTTAATTGCGAATTCGAGAAGCGTGCAGCTAATTAGGCCCAGTACATTTTAGTTAAAATAACAACTATAATTTGTTTAAAAGGAAATCTTCTGTTTTACTGGTTCTGTCTTTGTCTCGTAGATTTCACGAATTTTTATTCAAACTAATCAATGTCATGCGAAAATAATTCTCGTTGCTTCAGGTGTAGATATCATGGAGAAAAACGTCTACAAAAACCTGGGTTCCACGGTCACTTTAAATCAAGTTGTTGCTCAGAAATAAATGCTACTCATTGCCTTGGACTTTTAACTTTCATCCATCAGATTACCGGTTCAAACTCCGCTTTATTCATTAAGGCATAATATCCACTCATAAAATAAAAGTGACTCGTAGTTCAGTGATTTGCTTTCTTAGTTACATTACTGTTATCATTATGACCATGCTTTTTTATTCAATGGTCCTTATACTCAAGCCAAATTATGATCGATGCAAAACTATCCTATACAAAATTAAGCTTCATGCTACACGTTTGCCATTAACATTTCCTAATTTATATTGTGAGCTTTCTACCTTGTAGAATATATATATATATATATATATATATATATATATATATATAATTATATTATTATTAATTATTAAGGTTTCCATTTTTGTCAGGATGAGTTTTATGTTGGTCTTCGACGGAAACGGGCCTCTGGAGAAGAGTATATTTCTTTCATGGATGAAGTTGTGGAGTCATTGTCAGCCCAGTATGTTGTAATATTGTTACATTTAACAACTATATCACACCTAGTTATGGACCAAATGTCTGTCTGCATTTTGCAGACTTTAAGAATTCAAATGCTTTTCAACTTTTAGAGCGATATCGTCCGAATCACATAACATTCAACGATGATATACAAGGTTAATAAAGTGCTCGTTTTATTTTTATCCATTATTGAAATCATTAATTTAACGAAACTGTGAAAGGTTCATGATAGGTATTGGAAATTAAGTTTTGTGATCGTAGTCTGATATGTTCGTACGCTAAGCCAGTATTTCACAGCTCTAACCTCAATGCGGTGAACAAGAATGATGCTATTTTCTTCTTTACCGCGCTAACTAGAGTAAGAAGTTTAGTAGTCGTATAGAAGCTTTGTTGACCGAAACTAGTAGAATTAAATGTACATTTGAGATAATTAGTTACATATCGATTACAGTGATTATAGTTAGGGAATTGAGTAACTGTTAATGAACACACAGTGAAAAATTCACTGAAGGTCCTCGAAGTGACTTCACACTGAATAAATTGGTTTAACATATGTTCATCTTAATTCAACATTAATTTTCCGCTCAAGTTTTATTTGAGGATTCCACATCTCGAAAATAGTCTTCCTGTACTACGTAATTCACTGGATCAGTTTAGAACTTGTTGCCTCAACTCACTAATTTCGAGCAGGTCTTAAACCACAAGTATTCTCTAAGGGCTAGTGACTCAACTAATGATACCAAATTCTCAGTAGGTGAGACAGGTTTAGAAACCGTGATTTGTTAATTAAAAGTTAGTTACTTAAATCAATTATTCGTAGCACAACAGTGTGTTATTTTATATAACAAATTACTTGATATTGGGTATAAAGGGTAAGTATATTTAAGAAGTACTTTACTTAAACTTACTTAAACACATAAATATTGGTACAAGGAAGCACCAGATAAATATGCGCCTCACAAATCTCATTCGATTTGTGTGAGGGTTGTGATACTGCCCAGGTGCCCAGACTGAAGCAGATGGTTTTCTTAGGGGGCCACACCCGGAGCCTTTGACCTAAAGGTCTAGTCCACAAGGCAGTGGAGCATCGTAAGGAGATGCAGTCCCATGGTAGCCGGTGACCAACAGTTGGTTCATACGCCATTCGTTCCATCAGGATACTGGAGCCCATGTGCACCATTGGTTTGGAATCAGGGTTTTCCAACTCCCCTAGGTGGATCCTCCACATCTACCGACCCGGTTAAAGCGCCGGACATTCGCTTTTCGTCCTCTCACTTTTGTGAACAACACCCCCGCCACGAGAAGGCAGTGAGTAGGACTTCCCTGGCAGAGGCTATATATTCGCGTGGCCATATGAGAGCATTTCGAGAGGGAGAGCAGACTCTCCTCACTCTCGGCCGTACCAGGGCATTTGGGGGCATATTTAAAAATAGCTTAGAACAGCTTTTACCTGCTTTCAGGTATGTTATAAAAGAGCTATCAACTTACTCCTTGTATACCTTCGATAGTACTTGAGCAGCTTCCCAACAACAAATCATCTACTGACCCTCTACTTAACTCTGGCGGACTAGCATCATACTCACTGTAAGACCCAAATGCACTGGGTTTGGTTTCGTGTTTATTTGTTAGTCGAGATTAATAAACGTGACAGGGATAAACACAAGTATTTGACACTGGTTTTCAACAGTTCAGCACTCAGTGTCCCACTGTGATATGTATATTCACTCTTATATACTTATAATTTATTCATTGGATAAAAATAAAATCAAATGAACTTTTTGCAGCTGTGCGTACTATTAAAATTTTTGTGAGAATATATTTAAAATTGTAATTTCGTTTATACTAAGTATTCCTCATGAATCGTATGAAATTGATTCCCACTACTCAATTTTCGTCATAAATATTTTGTTATTCAAGTTTTTTAGTACGATAAATGATTTCACCGTAACTAAGCAGTTTGAAATTTGAACGTTAAATGACTTACCTAATAGCTAAGTATCATTTACCCAAAGCATTTTACTTTTTATATTTTGGTCAGGAACTCACAGTAGCAGATGTCTTCTACTGCTTTATTAAAGATAAAAATCTGATGATTTGATTAGAACCATATTATGAACATTTTTAACTGATAAATATTTACATGTGGAATGGACTTAAAAATTACTTTCTTAAACGTATTCATTCCATTTCTATTCATCATATCAGGTTCTGCTGTGGTTATTGTATCAGGTCTGATAACTGCATCCAGAGTGACACAAAAGAAAATATCTGAGAACAATTATCTCTTTTATGGTGGCGGGGGAGTAAGTTATGTTTTTATTTCATTCATTTAAATATATTCAATTCGTGGTTTTGTAATAAAAACCAGATATTAATTAATGTTAATCCACTTAATAATTACATGGTCATAACAAAATCTTGTACATATAGGGGAATAATATCCATTGTTGCTTTTAGCTTGCGCTCGGGTTAGCTTTGCTCATTACACCAGTTGAAACCACTGTATAATATGAAGCTTCTAATGACACGCTGAAAATCAAGAGAAGGGTTAAGAGAATTCGCTACGTAAGAACATTCAATTGGTAAGGGCCAAGTTTAACTGGACTAAAAGTTGACAGTCTTCAGTTGTGTTTTGTATGCATTTGTATGAAGATTTAATTCCATCGAATAAGTGTTAAACATTCATATTTGAATTCAAGCTTCTTTTACACGATAGTTATTTCCTAACATCAAATATCTTAAGTAAAGATGAAACGAAAAAGATTAGTTTCCTGAATTACGTATCGGTCTGTACAGTATTCGTTGTGTGAAATACAAAGAGCACAGAACAATGTCATGTTTTGTTCCAATCGTGCCAGTACAACACCGAGTCATAATTGTAATCCCTCAACCATAACTGCTATCCCATAGACCCCGACAAAAAACATCGTCTTACATGATTCAGACTATTCGTCACTGACCTATGTGTACTAATGCAATGCTCTAATTGGACACCTGTAGCTTTTTTCTAATTAGTCCTTGGTTAGGTGGTCACCAACTGTGTATAACACACTTCGATCACTTTACTCAATTGGGATTAACAATCTCATTAACTAATTTTTTTGTTTATTTATTTATCTAGGCCTCTATCGGCATAGCACGTTTGTTAGTACAAGCAATTATGGAGGAGGGTTTCTCTGAAGATGAAGCTAAATCACGTATTTTTATAATGGATTCTAAAGGTTTAATTGTTACAGTATGTAAATACTTATTTCACCGTACTTATCATTAATTAATGTGCCATCTTGTTTTAGGTATTTTTGAGCAGTGAAAATAATAGTCTGCTTTGACGTAATTACTCTAATTATTGCGATTTTACCTACACATCTGTATCTATACTAACATTCCTGAACACATCATTAAGTCTAGATAAAGAGAGAAATAAGTCAATATAAATAGGTATTTTTATATGTAGTTTTTGAAATTTTTTTACCAAGTTCAACTATAGTTCTTCATCACACTAATAATTGTACGCCTATTAATGACCATTAGCTTCAAGATGCAAACCCCGAGTTTTTACTGAGCTGTGATTGATGGTGCTTAACTCTGTTGAGGCTCATACATTTATCACCAATGTCGTCAACCAGTATCGCAAAAAGAACGAATTTAAAAATGTAGACCTTTAGATTCTAACTCATTCTCTTGAAGGCGTTTTTTTTCGTCAAAAAACCTGAAACTTCTAGAAGCATACTCATGAGGAGTATCGAATTAAAATGAAGTAGCTATTCAGTGCTCCATGATTTTGGTCCTTCACTTGTTCTTAGTAATAAATAACTTGTTATCCAATCCGTATATCTGTTTCATTTTAATACCAAGTGGAATTATAAACCAGTTCCATTCTTTTAATTAAATCACACTTGATAAAATAAGAAATACTAACAAAAGAAGTCGAATTAGACATTTCTATCCTGGTAACTGATATTTGTGAAGCAAAGATAACAAACATTGTCAAGTGGATGACGTTCACTTCATTTTGTTTTCCCAAAATCTATATAGAAACCAATTTTATCCATAAGATGGAATACCGCAAATATAGTTTGCATATAGTAATTCGAAAGTAATTTTTACTACGAACTGACGTAATTTGGAAGATTTGTACGAAGTAGGAAACTCTAAGACGCACACAGGACGACCTCACGCCTGTTTGAACACACACTATGTCAGTCTACTGGTAAGTGTGATATAAAATTATTAAATCCAATGTTACAAACAGTCACAAATAGTTCATAGGTGTTCAATGCTTTCCGGTATTCAGTGGTTGTTTAGTCTAAGCCAGTTCGTGATGAAAATTGTAAATAGATTAGGTGCCAGAGTCAACTATTTTTTAATATAACAGTGAGGTCAAGAATAACTATGATAAAATCGGGGTAGAAATATAGGTAAATTAAATAATGAATTTGTTACTGTAGTTAATTTAAAAATAACTTCAGTTGGAAGATGCTAATAGAATAGGGGTATTGAAATAGATTCACTTCATCCTACACTGTTTGTTCTCTATATCAATGGGGATTGATTGTACCATCAATTGTGCCTCTAAGCTTCTATGCTGTGGAGCACTTGCCCATGCATTGGCCAAGTTTTTTTACATAACGATTAGTGCTATTGATTTTAAATATTTTATTACGAAATGCAGAAATGTGTAATTGAAAATATTGGTAAGGTATCCAAAATTTTAACAAATCAGTCCAAGGTTAAGTTTTACGCCTTACGATGAACTAATACCAAAAAAATATTTGAATATCGTATTTTCCAATTCATTTCAAATTTTTCATAGCCAGTATGTTGTGTTTACAATAACCTAGAAACTATTAGTATATGCTTACAATGTTTACCTAATCGTACAAATTATTTCACACTTGGATATGTTTAAAGGGTTTTTCCAAGTCATGATTTCAGTGACTGTTAAAATAAAAAATAAACCTTTATGATATTATTGACGTGCAAGGTTATTGATAGTTTTATCTAATTGTGCCATAACGGAATAAATATCTAGAGAGCTGTAAATTGTGGAACTATCCTATTAAGAATTATTATTTGTATTTTTACTGTATAATTATTAGACATGTAGATTACTGTGTCCTTGTATTCCCATAATTGTAATTATTCGTTTGGCGCATAAACTATTGTTATGCGTTTTACCTTCCTTAAGTTGTCGTTCGTTAGTTATCAACCTGTTACTTGGTTTCGCTTCCAGTTATGGTGCACTTATGTACTTTGTTATTAATACTGGTATGCGATCAGGAGATTACTCCATTTTATTGTATGGGATGACTGAATGGCTACACAATAGAAATCTTATCTGGCTGCTAATTTCACTTGATTGAATGCTTGGTTGAGCGAAGCTTGAAGACCTATAGGTGCTAAAGTTTTGGTTATTGTTCATTGGTCAATGAGCCATTGTCAAAATAGGCCATTGGTCCAATAAGTTCAGAACAAATTGACAAATAACCAGACTAGACAGTACTTCTGCTTCTATAATAAGGTCTTGATGACATGAGGTCCGTCATAATGCAAGAACCCGTTCTTTCTAAGATATAATATTGTATTACAGTATTAATGACTTCAATGTTTCTCTAAACCCTGTACTTATTATGTAGGGTTTTTTCGTATACAAAAAAACATGTTTGTACGCAACATTAAATATTTAAATTGAAATGAGTGCAAAAATAACAATTTCATCAGAGCAACAATAATAACCTAATGATATAAAACAAATGCATTTTATTCTGCCCAAACCATCGTTGTTAGCGCATTCAAGTTAGTTAATGGAACTATGCTTGTGAAATATTCAACTGTTTGCTTAATCAACGGTATAATCGTTAGCATTTAACGTTATAGAGGTTTTTCTAATAATTTTTGATAAAAAAAACTTTGAAAGTGTCCCCAACAAGTGGTTTATTTTTATTTGCAGTTTAATCAAATAGTGTTATTTTTATCGATTTATTAAATAATGATGGTTAAAATTTTTGCAACTCCTTTCAGTTCACGCATATATTTGTAATTAAGAATCTATGCTGTCCAGATTCGTTGATTTCTTATTGTACGGAGATTCTCAACAGTTCATTATTTTATAGCTGTGGAATTTGGCCTATGTAGATAGAAACAGTCGGTTCCTGACATTCGATCAGATATCCTCTAAGCATTGCTTACTTACTCACTTACACCTGTTACCCCCAATGGGGGAACATAAATCGCCGACCAGTATTCTCGAACTCACTCTGTTCCGGGCCTTCCGTTCTAGTTCTATTTAACTTTTGTGCATTCTTCTCATGTCTGTCTCCATTTCTCAGCGTAATGTGTTCTTTGGTCTTCCTCTTTCCCTTCGGCCTTGAGGATTCCATGTGAGAGCTTGTCCTGTGACGCAGTTGGCTGCAGTTACGGCCACATCTGCTCTCAGTATTTCTGCTAGGATGTTGTCTGGTCCTGCTGCTTTGCCGCTCTTGATTTGTCCCGGGCTTGGGACTGGCAAAAACAGGCGGAGTTGCTCCGTGTACAGGGGAAATATTCATTCGATGTTTCTGAGGTTTTGCATATAATAATAGGTATTAGCGTTATATTGGATGACAAGGCTATGAACTTTTATCGATTGAGATGAATGTGGATGTTTAACACATGTCTTAGCTTCCACATTCCCTGACTTGCAGCAGCAGCTAGCATAGGGGTCAGTTAAAGGAAAGTTGTAGTAACAAATCAATCTATGGAGACACTAGCTGTTGTATTCGTAAGCTCACACTTCGCGATTGGGCTATGGAGAAGGCTGTGGGTGGTAATCGTTGAAGATTTTAGTTGGTGTGTATTGAAATCAGTTGCAATCGTCCGGTCGGATTGGCTCTTTATCTTTCCTCTCAACTTTAAGTTTGTGTACTTTTTGATCGTACTTAACTCTCGATTTCATTCGTTCATTTCATATTCTCAACTTTTTACTGTCAATAACACTATTATTCTCACTCCTGTGTTTTTGAATTTGTCAATTTCCTCTAATGTCATCCTACAGAGTTGTTAATGTACTACACTATAACTTGAAAATACATATATTATGGATTTCACTTATTACTGAACCGACAACTTTCTGTCCGACTATCATGGTTATTTCGTTTTATTACAGAGTCGTGAACTTAGTGCAGCAAAATCAGAATTCGCTCGTTCTGATTATCCTCAAATAGATTCACTTTTGGAAGCTATTCGATTCATTCGACCTTCTGTTTTGATTGGTACGTAACTCTAGATTTATAATTTTATTTTCTGTTTCAACTAAGTGCTTTCTTATTATTTTAATTTCAAATATATTTTTCATTTTTGTTTTTAAATCCCTTCTTGTTTGCAACGATTCTCCAACTAATGTCAGTTCATCATAAAAGTACCTACACATTTTCCTGTTTCTTCTGGTAAATTACGATTATAATCCTTTTCTTGTTGGAATCCAATGATTTTCATTCATTATTTTTCATTTTAATACTTTAAAAACATACTTTGCCTAATCATACAGCTTAGTTAAAATTCAGGGAAAATATTTCAAACATTAGTCCAAACCCATATCTTCACTAAGATTTAAATGGTCATGCTTTAGCAAACCTCTTCTGAGTGATTAGTTGCACATAAGTAAATGTTTCGGTGCTCCAACGAATTTGTTGCAAGTTTTAACTAATAACTCAGTCTATATTTGATTGCTTGGAATCCTGCAATACGAGTCTTCATTTTAGTTCCCACCCTCACCCTATTTGAACATTGGCGGCCTGTTTAAACATCTGGGCTACTTGTTCCTGTCATCTAGATATTTCAACAAGTTATCTAATTTCGTTTGCTTTAATACATCATTATGCCTATTAATCGCACAACCTATTCAGGTGCGTTTCTGAAAAGTGTAAGACCTTTCGCTGTAAAGGTTACAGAATGTCTAATCAGAGATATCGTGGTTGCTGGCAATATGCAGCGAGAAGAATGTACATTATCCAAATGTCGATTGACTGGGCTGCTAAGTTCTGACTGACGATCACTCAATATTTATCGTCAGGAAGGACGAAGAAGTAAGAAACGGAAACTTGTTGAAATACTTTGTACTGAGAATTCTATATTGTACCAAAAATATAATATTGAATAAAGCTAATAATAATAATAATAATCCCTGCATAAATAAAATCATTGAACCAAGGACTCTTATCTCACTTAGTGTCATTAAAGAGTATACATCTCTTTCATGTGTGTATTATAAGGATATTCTATGGATCACAAACTATCCCAGCTATCTTTTTTTATCCACTGTAGTTTTATTACATGCTTCTGAGTAGTCAATAAAATATGAAATTCATGTTTTATAATTTTACTACTTATCAGTAGTTAGAATTTATTATTTGCTAATTATCGCGTACTTGGTTTGGACAGCCATTTTTAATGGATCATGTTTGCGTTTGACTGCTTTGAGAATTGGTTGTTTTTGTCGTATTTATCACCCTGAATTTAAGTTCTACCTTAAGCTAATCGTTATTTGTTAATCTTCATGTATAAAATCTCTGAGAAGCCAAAACAGTCTTTTGGCTATAACTAACCTCGAGTGTGTTATTTCAGTGAATTTAACATAAGGTGACTTTCTAACTTGAAGAAAAGATCGCGTATGTATGTTTATCTTCTTTTCTCGACTGTTTTAAAGTAACTTCTATTCAACTTTCATGATAAAGTTTCTCATTTGTTTACAGGTGCTTCTGCACAAAGCGGTGCATTCACGCGTGATATTCTTCGTGAACTGTCGACAATCCATAAGACTCCTATCATATTTGTCCTGAGCAATCAATCAAATCTAGGAGAATGCACTTCCCAGATGGCTTATAAGGCTACAGAAGTATTTTATTATGATTGTTTACTGAGATTAATTTGTAAATGCTGTTTTTTTTCAGTATTCTGCTGTTCACACTTAGTGTTTATGATAAGTAATAACTTACTGCAACAGAGAATTATCTGGTATATCTTTTTGTAATACCACCTTCTGAAATAAGACTACGTAAACGTTTAGAGTGGCAGTAAATTATCTTGGAAATCTTTGAATCGATCTAAACTAACAATATATCCACGTTATCCTATGCTAGTAATAGCCGACTGTTACTTTGCTGTTTCGTAAGGTGGATTTGAGGTTTTTCGTGCACATTTTGTTTCTTTGAGATTCGAATTAGTATTGTCTAACATTTTGGTCAGACACACATCACTTTTGATATTCCTACATAGCCTTTAGATGATATAACTAACAATACGTTTGCTCTTCCTAAATTTCTATCAAAACATTAGGATTGTATTAAATTTTTTTCTGTTTATCCCCATGATATGGTGATTAGATTCGTCTACTTGTCTTTGATCCACACTTTAAGTGTAAGAGCTGTTGATACTATCCTGTTCCCTAAACCGAAGTAGGTGGAACAGGGTTCGAATCTGCGACTTAGTGTCCGAAATTGGAACAGCTTAACCATTAAAACACCGCTGCACATTTTCATCTTGATATTGGTTATCTCGCTTTGTTGTTTATAGTTTTATTCTAATTTGTACACGGAATAATACGAAATTCATTAGAGACTTTTATCAACTATTTTCATCCATTTCCTTTGCTTTGTGTATATGTGTAGTGGCGATGTATATTTGTCAGTGGTTCTCCTTCAGAACCTGTTCGAACACCAGATGATCGTATATTAAAACCGAGTCAAGGAAATAACTGCTATGTTTTTCCAAGTTTGGTTAATGCATTATCGTTGGCTGCGATTCGTCCGCTGACCAATAAATTGTTATTGACTGCGGCAAAGGTAAACGAGACTATTGTTTGATGTTTTTTCTTTCTAATTTATTCTTTTTTGTAAAGAAACAAACAAAACAAATTAATAAACATATTGAATTTATTATGGTTTCAGCTTAATATAGGCGTTCGTTTTCACAAATGTTCTCAAATAAAGTGTAATGATCGGTACTTTCAAAATTCTTAGTTGCCCAAAGGCTATAAAAGCATCTTGGCTAAAATATATTAGCTTAATACTACTCTGCTATATCTAAAATGTTTCTAAGCAGTCTCATCGCACTTACCACGTCTGACACCGATGTTTCTGGATCTTAGTAGTCATTTACGAAGGCTACCAACCCAGGACTTATAAACTCCAGAAACATTTCACCTCTTCATTGTTACGTAATAGTGTCATGTACAGCACGGATATGCCATTCACACAAGTCAGAAAATCCAAATCAATATTATTACCGCGACTCTTTCATTACAACTAAGATACACTGTGGTATATTCAAAAATAAAACTTTGCGATGTGTGGGAATGAGAGTAAAACGTGATTGGTCATTGAGCGTGGACAAACAGTCACAGCCTCCTAGCTATTAAATATATGATTTCCTTCCCTCTCTGATTGATTTTTACTCCGAACCCACTGAGTGTGACCACTTGTAATTGCGTGAAATAAAGTACTATGTAGGGTTATTCTGGGTCTGGAATCCTGGATTTATTATAACGTGACTAGTCTCATTGTCGTAGTATACCTGAGTGAGAGGAAAATAATTTGAATCATCTGTTATATCACTTTGCCATTAGGAAAGTTCTCCAACCACATACGTCAATGGCAATAGCAGCTAATGGTTGTAGTTATTTTACATCACAAAAATAATGACGCGTGGTGGTGTTGGCGCTAAAATCGGTCTCGTTCCTAACACATGGGGCGAATGTTCACAAAACCGGTACCCAATATCCCAGTAGTTAATCGGAACCCGATCGATAAGTTTGGTAAGAGGCATACTCACTTGATAGTGGATTTACCCAAACCCATTCACTGGATTTTTGTATCAGTAAGTGAATGACCTTACTTAATCCCAATAATTTGATCGTCGATGGTCCCTAACAGTAAGATTACCTGTAGATCGATCTATGATTTCATTTACATGTTTCTGAGCTCTCAATAGTCATATTAGCTGAGAACTAAGTATGTCTAGTGTTCGTTTGATACTCTAAATGCATTATCATATTCAACTTCATTCTTTGGCATATAATCCCGTACCATTTATAAGATAGTTTGATCTATAATCAATCTTTTATAAATTTTGTATATTGTAACAAGTGTTATTTCGTTTTCGTTAAGACTCCTTACTATACAATACATCCCTATGCGTTATATTTACCCAGTCATTCAAGAGTCAGTCAGGGATTCGGTGAAGAAATCTCTTTTCATCAAAAGCTATATGGTAACAAAACATGCTATTTTAAAGAAATAGTCTGCAATTCGTTTCTTAATGAGCATAATTTATCGGACTTAGTAAAGAAAGAAAAATTACCATATGGCTAAAACACATGTCATTTTTATTAAGCAAATACAAATAGAATTTTAAGGAAGTATGTAGAGAGGTGGCTTAGTTGTCAAGGCATTTAAATTTTGGGCACTATGTCCTTGGTTTAAACCCCAATTTGCCCATATCAGTTTGTGAAACCGGATAGTATCTTGAGTCGTCATACTTGAAGTGCGACTAATACCTCATACTTAGTGATTAAGTTTATTTCAAAAAAGATTTTTAATCAAGCGTACTAGAAAAACCAATTAAATATTAATAATTATGGAAAATGAAATACAAAATATGGTAAGATAAATCAAAAAATAAAATGGAATCGAAAATAGACTAAAAAATAATTTGTCTATGATAAAAGGGTGACACACTGGAATACTTGAGAAAGTGGTTACTAGTGAAACTAGACAACATAAATACAGGAGAATTATACAGTTTCGAAACCGGGATTGCATAAAAGAGACCACTTCTATGAACCATGCACACTCCCTCTCATTATATATCTCAATGGGTGTTTTTATACTTTTCCGCTATAAATCATATAATTTTTATACCTTGATGTTTATTTTTTTTCTTCTAAATATAAATGCAAGCGAATTTTATTAATGATCACGTTTTGCATGAAAATTGGTATTTTGTGTAAAGTACTCTTTTTTGGTTATCAATGCAGTTTATTCAGTCTAATTTCCCTAAAGAAAAGTTGGTGGATATTACCAAGCACATTCAGTTCATTTGAATGAATTTAACCACTGGTTATCGAAATTTATTGATAAATTAGTCGTCTATCTCACTGGAAAATGAATTTTATGTAGTTCTTTAGATTCTTTTACTTTGCAGTTTTATATTCTTGTGATAATGAGCTCTTAGTTCAACCAGCCCAGTCTATCACAAGCTTATTATTACTTATGATGTATAATTTTTGTGATCACTATTACTTTCAAAGATTTAAGTTCCTGTGTACAGACACTCATGTGGTTAACTAGTATAAATTGTCATAGCCTATGCAACAATTTCATAAATTACATGTACCATCTTTACAGTAATTATAAACGCCATATATGTGACACGTACTCTAATTTTTCATCATTTTCTGCTTTTATGATTTCAGAAACTATCTGAATTAGTTACAGACGATGATATACGTCAAGGTAGTATGTATCCATCAATTGCTCGATTGCCAACAATTACAAAAGAAGTCTCTTGCGCTATTATGGAACAAGCATACAAGGATAAAATTGCATTTTTTACTCCAGAACCAGATAATAAGATGGAATTTATTGAATCTTACTATTATGATCATAGATATATTAATTTTACACCCGACCAATATGTTTGGTAGCCATTTTGACTCATTTCTATTCCGTGTTTCCTCTATCTATTTGAACAGAACTCGATCGATTACTTAAATTTTATCTTCAAACTGGTAAGAATGATTTCATCATATGTATTAATAATGTATGGCTATTTCTTACTATCTATTCGTTTTAAAGTGTTGATTTAAATATCGATATTCGTTGTATTCATACCTTTCTTCTGTAAGACTATTTTTCTGTCAAACGGTTTGTACGATCTGTGAAAAATGTTTTTCAGTAAATAACTATACCTTTCAACTGTGGTAATTAAAAAAGTAATAACGTCTGCCTTAAATGTTCAAAAGGCATCAATAGCTTCCACAATCCTTTTGCTGGTCTCAGGTGCTTGTGATTCTATCAGTTGTAGTGGTTCTAGACATTTTTCGTAAATATGTTTCAGTCTATCGGCAAGGCAGACCCAAATCACTGAAATTGTACACTACAAAATGACGAGGAATTTAGGAAATATGATAATGGAAGAGCAGATAGATATGGTTTATGGTCAAAATGGGTTTACATCATGATAGTGAAATGTAACTTTCGGTACCGTCCAAACTCTTCTGAGGTTTCCTGGTTAATAACATTTAGAAATGCTACATTTTTGTTTTACTCAAGATGTCTCTAGTAATCCGACACAGAGCTACAGGGTTCATCAAAATATCCTATCTAAATGTAATTTCGATTTTCTTTTTCAGTACTGTGAAGATTGAAATTCTAACGTAAAGTCAGTATTACTACCAACTATCTGCTCCAATGTTCGTTGTAACGAACGAGTCGACAGTTGTTCACTTAATTATAAATACTGTATATGTCCCAAACTCACTGCGATTCGTATGTTACCAGATTATGAATGTGTATATTTGTTATTTCTAGGTTATATCCGAGACTGATCAAATAGTTTACCTGAAGCTTCTGCAGGATTGTTAGACAATGATTATTGCCTCACAGTTTATATATATATATATATATATATATATATATATATATATATATATATATATATTATAACTTAAAATCCTACCATTTCGTTGCTATGTATCACCACAAAGGCCTTGAACATCAAACATTTGGCTTCATGTTTGGTCTCGTTAAATTATTGATATCTAAGTTATGTCGGATTGTTTAGTTGATATTGTTGTCTTGAAAACACAGGTACCCAAAATGTATTTTGTAATGTGAAATATGAGGTAGGTTTTTCTAAGTCGAAAAGTTATTGTGCATCTCTTAAAATGCCTAGTTGGTGAAGTTGTTAAAGGGTTTGCCATATTAATATAGTTCAGAATTCTTTGTTCGAATCAAAATCCATTTGACGTTCATGATATCTCCGTGATCAAACAATGCTGTACTGCGGGACTGCTTGAGTAATACGAACAGAACGGTGATAGTTATTTATCATTCATGTGTCATTATACTGTGTAACTACTTAGACTGTTGGTGATAACACTGTGTGTGGTTTAACTATCATATGCTATCAACCAAATTTTGGCTGGTTTGGGTGATTACCTCCATCACCCTGACTTCAGTAATCAACGTTGGATTTTATATGGTACCATAAGCTCTCATATCTTAGTTGAATTGCGACAAACATTTAGCTTGTTTGATAGACGTAATTCTACTGATTCCTAACATGTCTGGTAAAACTGACATTCGAATAAGACTCGCAATGTACTTGGAACATAGGATGAGAAGGTAAGCCATACTGACTAGACAAAAGGCCAAATGATAATATGAGGGGTGAAATCTCCAATCTGCTTGTTTTCAGGTAGTCTGCTTTTGTAAGGAGTAATGTTGGGGCCTGTATTGATAAATTGTTCAGACAGAAACCTTTAAGAGTCTTGTATATGGTTAGTCGTTTTGTAGAAATTAAGTTTCACCACGAGAAGTTTTTGATTCTGATACGTCTTGCCTGTTAGAACGCTATATTCGCTTCCCTAAGCTAGTTCCGTCACCCCCGAGCTAGAACTATACAGTGACTTGAAGACCAGAGAAAAGGCACAAAGTGTGTGGGAGGCACTTTACTACAGGGTTCATTTATGTACAGAAAATATAGGGATTTTATAATGATTTAAGAGTCCTTGAGTTTTACTGAAAGTTCTAGAATACTGCTAAACAGAGTAGCAGTGTATTAATCAGCCAATCAGGATCTCCACATGTGACTTTTCCATTTTCGTTATTTTAATAACATAAATTCTAATTAATCGCTGATTGGTTGAAATGCACCTTGACGACTCATGAGCTTGTAATGTCGCTTGCGTGAAAATTGCAGGGTCATCCCAACAGATTCAACACACTTGGGGCGGCTATTGAAATGTATTTATCACCTGACTTGTGCAGTATCATAAAAATAATGAGTACGAGCATTGGAGAAGTGACAAAAACATATACTTTGCATTAGATATTATCTCCAAACAGTTCCTTTGCTCGTGCGTCTCATTAAAGCATAAGCAAGAATATATTCAAGAAATATGACTTTTTTATACAACTCGATCCCAGCTATAGACTGTATGAACAGTGGTTCTCTCCTAGATAGCAGTGCATAAAGACAATGTGTTTGGCCTTTTCATATGAATTATCAGTCAAAATACATACGAGACTGTTGTTCAACAGAGCTGTGATGCCACATTTAAAACAAGTTGTAACGAAAAATTCCTAAAAAAGCCGAGAATTTAAAGTCGTTTGCAGTAAGATTGAATCATAATTCTTACTTACTTCAGGTATGTGGTGAAAGTGAACTGGTAACTACTGACTATCTCAAGTACATTTTTATCTTTTCAAGTAGTCAGTATTCGGTTGTTAGTGAAAATGCAACAAAAGCCATTCAGGCACTGGTGTTTTCATAGAGGCAAGTATTAACTACGTAATTTCGGTATTGGTCTAATCTAACCGTTATTTTTGGAGAGAAAAATCTAATGTTTGATTTATTCATGTTATATGAGAGGTGAACAGTTCATTTGAATGCAGAAAATAATAAACTATTGTAAAGTTTGAATCTGTTTATGCTTTTGCCTTAATTATTAGCATGTTGTGTAGAAATGACTACTTTTGTTTGTGTTAAAATCTTAAGTTCTTTAGAATCTCTATCTATTTAGTTACGTTCGGGAGATTCCATTGATATGTCTATCCGCCCATGCGTATGTTCTCAATTCAACACTACGGTACAATGGATAACTCGCGATATAGGTTTAAATTTGTTGACTTTATAAAAAAAAAATGGTCCGTTCGCCAATTTGTTATGACTTTATAAAATAAGAAGGCCGTGTCCAATTCGTTGTGATTTTATGTCCGGCTTTTTATCATGTGAATTAATCATCAATCGAAATACGACTTTTCCAATCTTAGCACTGTGCTAACCAATGACTTCAACCGGTATGAGCAGTCTAGCGCCCTTAATGGTCCCTTGTCCGCCTAGCCCTTCCAATTGAGTCCAAAACACCAATTACAGCTTCTGTTATGCGAATCATTTATTTCAAGCATACTCGGTTTATATACCAGACAGACGAACCATAAAATAGAAAATAACATTTGTACAAGATCAAGCCAAATATGGCTGTGAACATGGGATACAGTAATCAATAAACTGAATATAATTTAATGGCAGTAAGTCGTATATTTACAATTCATAGGTCAAAATGAAGATGAATAAATATATATATATATATATATATATATATATATATATATATAGAATAATAGTCCATTGTTAGGTCCTCGGAGTTATCCATACTTCACAAGGATATGAAATATCATGCAGCAGGAAGCACTAATTAAAAGAATCCTAAAATTTCATACATACAATCACCAACAGCTGCAAATCCTGAGGAAAAGATAATCATCCTCTAGCGATTTTTCAATTCTGGACACATGAATTTTCTCCTGTCGTTTGTATGACATTTTCTAAAAAATAGTTCTGAAGTTTTAGACTAAGGTACTGCTGTATCTTTGCATCCCTCAGCTCACCATGGATTCAAAGATTCTAAACATAAAAAATGAATAGGAACGATCATATCGTAAACCTAAAATTGCTTAACTGATCACTTTGTTTAATCTCTTCGAAGTATTTCGGTTCACAGTCTGAGTACTTTTTTCTCGTTGAGTTACTGTCATAATTTCGGTCGTCTATAACAAACCAAGACCACTGTTTCAACTTGAATAATTTCCAATTAGAATATCGTTTTGCATATATACCCAGGTGAAAATATAATTTATGGAGGAACCAATCAGATCTGAGATAATAGGTCACGGATTTTACAGCGAAATTCGTCCACTCATTTGGCTAATTACTATGTCGACATTATAGTTGGTGTCACTTTGTGATGAAAACTCCAAATTTGGTTCCTAACCATCAACTGTAAATCATGATTCTAATTCGTCACCACCCCCATTTAATCCTAGTTAGTAGATTGACAGTCTCAAGGTTATTTTATCGTTACTCAAAGGTCGTCCATAAATCATAGTCTCACCTATTTTCATTCAGTTGTTAAGTCTTGCTGATTCCTGAACAGTGTGAAATAAGTGACTGTCATTTCCTGAGCTGTCAATACCCGATGGAGTGCGATGAATGATAGAAGGCTATCACGAAATTCGCTCTGATCTAACACTTGCAGAGTGTGATAGACTCAGATGTGTTCGTTTATGCCATCAAGGCTGCTTGGATGCAAACAGTGTATTGTCAGAAATCACTGAAATGGTAACTGTTGCTAAAACTCGTGTTACCTAGCGCAACTCTTTCGATCTCTCTTGCTATGAATATGATGATACTAGCTCTGTGATACCCAAATATATGTGCAAGGGTGAGAGTAAGCAACCTTACCTAACACCGCTCTTTACCTCGAACGAGTCAATGAGTTGTCCTCCATGCACCATCTTTTTAGTTTAATCCATCATAGGAACTCGGTATGATATTGACTATCTTCTCAGGCACACCTTAGTGTCGAAGAAACTTCCAGTGTTTTCCTGTCCACAGTATCAAATGTTTCCTCTTAGTCAATGAAGTTGATGTAGAGTGATGAATTCCATTCAATTGATTGTTCCACGATGATCCGTAGAGTTGTGATTTGGTCTGTACACGATCGATCCTTACGGAATCCAGCTTGTTGGGCGTCGACGGAGTCTCTCATTCTGTTTAACAATACCCTGTTGAACACTTTTCTTGGTATTGAGAGAAGACTGATGTCCCTATAGTTATCACACTTGCTGAGATCGCCTTTCTTTGGTACTTTGATCGGAAGTCCTTCTTTCCAGTCTGTTGGTACTTGTTCTTCATCCCAAATCTTACTGAAGAGAATGTGGAGTATCTCTACAGTTACTGCCACATCTGCT